CATACCTTTTTAAAAATTATTGACATAAAAAATAAATATAATAATTATGGTAGAGAATTTAAAAATATTAACAAAAATATAAAGACCAAACCAACCCATCATTTTTTGTACAAATCACCTAGGTTCAAATCTTTCCAGATCATGAATATGTTCACCGGTACCAATAAAACTATGTGTTGCTGCGACACTTGATATTTTAACAATATCAATGGGAAAAGAAAAGCGTAAAAACCAAGAAGTACTTTATGATTTTGAGCACAATATAAATTCATACCAATGCCTTACGCTGATATAGCCCCGCCACCCTTTGCATGACCATCCATTTTAGTTATTATAATCGAACCGATATCAGCAGCTTCATGAAAAGCTTTTGCCTAAGATTCAGCAGCCTGACCGATTGTTCCATCCATTACGAAAATAGTATTGTCAGGATTCTAAAATTAGGAAATAATTTAATATTAATAATATTATTACTACTATATCATTATTATTATTTTAAGATAACTTACAACTACAGCAGAAATTTGTTTCATTTCTTCAACAAGGTTTGCGTTGGGGCGGATGCAGTTGCAGTGAGCAATTTATCAGCCAAGGCAATCATGGGGATGTCAATTGTTCAGTTCGAACTTATTTCCGGAAGTTGAGTCAGTATCAGGCTATATATCTGATATGTATAAATTTTAGTACGTTGCTGCTATATCTATTAAATTTCATGTGATGTTAGTGAACTCGAAGTAGAGTCAGCTTTTAGACAACTTGATTTTAACCGATTCGAAAACCACCAAACCGAGCCGTTTTAGCATAGGTTTTAAATAATAATCAGAATTACTAATGCTAGAATTTATAATTGTATATATTAATTTAGTATCACCTAAGCTAAGAGTTAACGCTAAAAGTTAAAAAGCTCGGCAAGACTCGTACAAATCCAAAACTTAGAACAAAAAAATTGCTGATTATAAAACAAAATAATCTCGAAAATTTGCAACTATTATTGTTTAAGTTTTAGAGATAAGTTTGGCCGGAGTTTGGCATTTTGGCGTGGACAATAATTATAGTATTTGAATACAACACATACAAATTTTAAATATCGTCATGTGAAAAATACTTTTCACGTTTTTGATTGACATCAACAAATTTGGACACGATGAATGAATTTTTGAAACATTAAAAATTATCTCGGAAATTTGAATAGTATTCAATTCCGATTATTCACCTTAATGTGAGAAAAATTACGTTGGTGCATTATCTTGTTTGTATCGCAAGTGATGCTTAAATTTATTAGTTTATATATACATTGCTATACGTATAAACAGGTTATGGAAGATCGACAATGTGAATAATAGAAAAAAGGAAGGAAATTGATTCATATATGTGTAGATATACAGTATCAGGTATGTATATATTTACTGTATTATAAGCGGACAGAAGGATTTAAATATCTATTTTAACTTGATATTGTAATTAATATTATACATATAACTAATATTAATTTTAAATGCTCGATTCATTCATGCTATTTTTAATTTCATTTATTGTAGACACGCTATTTGCATGCTAATATTACCAACTTTTGTGTAATTTATAGTAATCTTTGACTATAGGGAATTCTTCCATGCAATTATGAGCAATTGTGAGAAATCATATTTAAGATTAAATAAATAGAATTATGATGTTTTTATGTATTTGAAGGGATTACGAATTTACTGAATGGGTCATGATTTTTTTTCACCATTTTTTTTGGTCATTAATGAGAAATTTTGTGCTTAAGAATGGATAATAAATACTGTTTTAATATTGTATTTATTATTGAATTCTTTAATTATAAAAAACAACCCGATTCTTTGATATAAATATTAAAGTTACTATACTGCTCCGAGCAAATTTCCCATAAAATGCGTATATATATATATATAACTCGGTGACAGTAGATTAAAATATAAACAAATAACAAAATACTTCTTAAACTTGAATAAAATACATGAACTACAAAGTAACAAACCATTGCCCATTTATTTTCCAACCTTAACACGTTTTTTTGATGGCGGCGCTGACTCTTCGTCTAAGAAGCATTATATACTTAAATGTTAACATTTGATAAAAAAATAATATATTAATATGAATGAAATATCCAACCTTCGTCAGATTCTTCTTGATAATCTTCTAAGTCAATTTCTCCTTCATCTATTTCATCCTCATCATCCTCGAAAGTAAAATAACTAGTTAAATTGAATGTAACGATAAAATTATAAACTACTGTTTTGTGGACGTTGCAATGAGCAATTTTTAAATTTTATTAATTACATCCAAGCCTGAGGATATAAGTCGTCTCTAATTGATCTTCCCAACTCCCAAGCCATATCATCCGTACTATGATCAGTAAACCATCGAATAAGACTTTGTTCTTCATCTTCGCCCCTACGTTTTTTTGTAAAATCCTTTATTGAAATGGAAACCAGAAAGTTTGAATTATCTTATCTGCTAGTTAATGTAATCATAACCAAATTTAAAGCGCTATCTCTCTACCTTGCCCTCATGCCATGCAACATCAGTAGTTTTTATATGACGTCGTCCATCCGCATCTACTGAGAATTCCTAATTAAAACGTTTGAATGAAATGAAT